GATTTACAGTTAGTGCATATTAATCACTAGAGTGTAACAAAGATGTACAGGTTAGTTCATATTAATCACTAGAGTGTAACAAAGATGTACAGGTTATTTCATATTAATCACTAGAGTGTAACAAAGATGTACAGGTTAGTTCATATTAATCACTAGAGTGCAACAAAGATGTACAGGTTCATATTAATCTCTAGAGTGTAACAAAGATGTACAGGTTAGTTCATATTAATCACTAGAGTGTAACAAAGATGTACAGGTTAGTTCATATTAATCTCTAGAGTGTAACAAAGATGTACAGGTTAGTTCATATTAATCACTAGAGTGTAACAAAGATGTACAGGTTAGTCCATATTAATCACTAGAGTGTAACAAAGATTTACAGTTAGTCCATATTAATCACTAGAGTGTAACAAAGATGTACAGGTTAGTTCATATTAATCACTAGAGTGTAACAAAGATGTACAGGTTAGTTCATATTAATCACTAGAGTGTAACAAAGATGTACAGGTTAGTTCATATTAATCACTAGTGTAAGAAGGATGTACAGGTTAGTCCATACTAATCACTAGAGTGTAACAAAGATGTACAGTTAGTCCATGTTAATCACTAGTGTATAAAAAGGATGTACAGTTAGTCCATGTTAATCACTAGTGTATAAAAAGGATGTACAGCTTAGTCCTGTTTATATGGATATGTTGCTAACCACAGGTAAATTCAGTAACACAAATGTGTGTTTAGAGCACCTAAGTCCTAACTTCAATTACCAAGAATATTTACTGATAATCGGTCTTGTTTAAAGCTTGTGACTTTAACCACTAGGTATATTCAGTTGTGCAGAATGTGGTACGGTTAGAGCTAGTGAAGGTTCTTCCCAATGGACAGGAAATGAGCATCAACAAAAAGTTAATTGATTATCAGTTTGCTGAAGCATCTGAGGAGAGCTATCTTTCAAAGGTAGGGCTGAACATGTTGCTTAGAAAGAGTAAACCTGTGCTTGTGATTTGTAATTTTGGTTGTAGTTATTTTGTGTTTGGTACATGTAGTTTTATTTCTGTGTACTTATCCAAACTTTAGTGTCCATTATTCTTGGTTTTTAAGTGCCACCTTGTACATAGTGGTGAGAGTAAACCATTGTGTGGTACAATGTACAAGCAAACGTCAAGATCATTTTATGCTTCAGCTTATTACAAAAGTGCTTATGTTCTTGGGTGTCCTGTTACGTTATTGTAAAATATATTTCACTTCATACTGGACTCTTTAAATATCTTTATTTTCACAAGATTAAGTCCAATAGAGTTTGTGTTTGTCAAGGTAATGCCTTGAGGTTGATCAGTGACCTTCAGCTAGTCTACCCTGAAAAGTATTTTTTTCTAATACAAGTAGTAACTGCTAGTATTAATGTGTATAATTAAGTACTAATCAGTCTTCATGAATTAGCAGTTTCTCTCTTTATAAATTGTGTGAGGTGAACAATACAACTTTCTGGTAAGAAGTTAAAGTTACTGTCACTGCTTCTTATATAGTAACTACAGTTACTTTAACTACTGCTTGTATATTAACTAAAGTTACTGTCACTACTGCTTGTATAGTAACTACATTTACTTTCACTACTGCTTGTATAGTAACTACAGTTACTGTCACTGCTACTTCTATATTAATTAAAGTTACTGTCACTGCTACTTGTATAGTAACTCAAGTTACTGTCACTGTTGCCTGTATAGTAACTAAAGTTACTGTCACAGCTACTTGTATAGTAATTAAAGTTACTGTCATTGCTACTTGTATAGTAACTGAAGTTACTGTCACTGTTGCTTGTATAGTAACTGAAGTTACTGTCACTGTTGCTTGTATAGTAACTAAAGTTACTGTCACTGTTGCTTGTATAGTAACTAAAGTTACTGTCACTGTTGCTTGTATAGTAACTAAAGTTACTGTCACTGCTGCAGTGACAGTAACTTTAGTTACTATACAAGCAGCAGTGACAGTAACTTTAGTTACTATACAAGACTAAGCAAGCAGTAGTGAAAGTAGCTTCAGTTTATATACAAGTAGCAGTGACAGTAACTATAGTTATTATATTAGCACCAGTGACTAACTTTAATTACTATAGAAGTAGCAGTGAAAGTAACTTTAATTAATATGCAAGCAGCAGTGACAGTAACTTTAGTTACTATACAAGCAGCAGTGACAGTAACTTTAGTTACTATACAAGCACCAGTGACAGTAACTTTAGTTAATATACAAGTAGCAGTGACAGTAATTTTAATTACTATACAAGCAAAACTGAAGTTACTTTCACTTAACTTTAGTTACTATACAAGCAGTCTTTCACTGCTACTTATATAATAACTATAGTTACTTTCACTGCTACTTATATAATAACTATAGTTACTGTCACTGCTACTTGTATATTAACTGAAGTTACTGTCACTGGTGCTTGTATAGTAATTAAAGTTACTGTCACTGCTACTTGTATAGTAACTATAGTTACTTTCACTGCTACTTGTATAGTAACTATAGTTACTTTCACTGCTGCTTATATAATAACTATAGTTACTGTCACTGCTGCTAATATAATAACTATAGTTACTGTCACTGCTGCTAATATAATAACTATAGTTACTGTCACTGCTACTTGTATATTAACTGAAGTTACTTTCACTGCTACTTCTATAGTAATTAAAGTTACTGTCACTGCTACTTGTATAGTAACTATAGTTACTTTCACTGCTACTTGTATAGTTTCTTTCACTGCTGCTTATATAATAACTATAGTTACTGTCACTGCTACTTGTATATTAACTGAAGTTACTTTCACTGCTACTTCTATAGTAATTAAAGTTACTGTCACTGCTACTTGTATATTAACTGAAGTTACTTTCACTGCTACTTCTATAGTAATTAAAG